TAAGCTGAGGGAAAAACCACAAGCAAGGATCTCAATCCAGCACCACATACACTCCCAGAATGGGCAAACTGAGCTGCAAGTGGTGGGCCACGGCCCATGCATATCTGACTAAAGTGCAAGCTAGGTGTGGTATAAAGTAGGAATACTGTGGGCTCTGTCAGGTTTAGCTTGAGAATAAAGTAGTCCTAAGTCATCATATAAATGTGCACCAGGGAGACCGGTTCATAGAACTGGAGAAATGGTTGCCAATTAACGTAGGTATCAGAGTACATAGGCACAGAGAGTTTATATAGGTAACTCTAGTTAGGTTGCAGGTATGGCAACTAGTGTAGAACCTAGTAATAGGCAGACTACTTAAATAGATGCCTAAAAGACACAGGTATAACTAGATGTACCTCCAAATATATATAACACATTCGAAATCAATAAAGCATACTTGACCAAGAGGTCACCTTAACACCAAAAAAAAAAAAAAAAAAAAGGTTAAACCTTTTTTGTATTTGGTATTGAAACTAAAAAATTTTTAAAAATAGCAAATAAAAAAAAGTTTAGGAAGATTGAAGATAAAAAATATAACAACATTTAACAATATTTTTTTTGATTAGAAACTTATAAGATTATAATTTTTTTTATTACTTTAATAAACAAGTATTACTAGTGTAACTATCTAAATTGAAAAAAATAAATAAAAAAATAAAAAAAATTACTAAAACAAAAAAAATAGATTATAATTAGATATAAAGTATATTTAAAATATATTAAATTGATATAAGATATAATATTCAAATTTTTAAATAAATAACAGAAAGCTGCATATATTTTTTAAATTTTATAAAATAAAAAAATATTTTTGATAATACAATGACTAAAAAAATCAAATAGAAAAATATAATTATATTTAAAATAGTTATAGAATAAGTTAAAATAATCTGTATATACAAATTAGTTAAACTAAAAATTGAAGTAAAAAGTTGGTTAAAAATTATTTTTGAAAGTTAATAATAGTTTTAGTATTAGATTTTAGAATTATATAGACTAAAAACTAGATATATTATTTATATAAATAACTATAAAGTTATAAAAAATTTTTATTAAAATCTAATAAAATAATAATAACAAATAACTTATATTTAAAAAAAAATAAATAAAAATAAATAAATAAATAAATAAAAATAAATAAAAAACAAGCAAAAAACTTGTTAAATACCAAATTATATATAGCTTAAATTAAGATAAAATAAATATTTAGTATTATATTTTAAAAGAATATTATTAATTTTATTATCAAAATATATTGCAATTTATCAATAAAAAAGCTTCAAGTTGCTAAATTTATAAATTTAATTCAATTTTTTTTCACTTGGGCAATCGTGCCACTAGACTTTATTTAAAACATCATGTAATAATACATATAACTTAGGCAGAGATGTAATTGAGGCAAAATTTAACCAATTTATTATATTTATTCTGCTAAACAGTAATATAACTTAGTAGAGATATAGCTGAGGTTTTTGACTATATTTTGTAATCTCGAATACAATTGAATTTTTTCAAATAGTAATTTTTATTAAAAGATCGATTGAGGGGTATAAAGAATGATATTGATGATTTCATCAATAACTTGTCTTTGAAATAAAATAATATTTTTAAAAAAGATTGATATTCATTTTATCATTCTTTAATATCATTCTTTAATTTCTCTCTTAATAATCTTCTTAGAATTTTACTAGCTTCAGATTTTGGAATTATATCATTAAACAATATACCACTTAATTTTTTATATGGCGCAACCTTTTCACCTACAAATGATTGAATTTCTTCTGCTAAAGCTTGAGATTTCTCATAGCCATTTCTAATTGTAACATATGCTATAGGAATTTCGGTTGCTTCTTCTTCAGAATAATATCCTATTACTGCTGCATCTGATACAGCATCATGTGTGAGTAGAATTGATTCCAGTTCAGAAGGTATTATATAAAAATTCTGTAAAGTTTAATTTTGGTATTAATCAAATCTAACCACATAATAATACGTAAAAATGATAATTATTATAATTTTACTTTGTATTTGATTAACTCTTTTTTTCGATCAAGAATAAAGTAGTTTCCTTTATAAAAAATAAATTGTAATTATGTAAACATATTAATATAAATTTTATTCAAATATAAAATATACCTTGTTCATCAACAAATACAATATCTCCTGTGTTAATAAATCTGTCTTTGTCGATAATTGCATCTGTAGCTTCTTTATTATTAAAATAACCCTATTGAAAAAATATAAGATTTTTAATACAAGTAGAATAATTATATAAATATATTGTAGTAATTATATTACATACTTTCATAATATTTGGACCGTGAACCCACAATTCCCAGGTTCATTGTATCCCAATTCTAAAATGTAAAATGATAAATTTTATTTTAAATTAGGAATAAATAGCGCATTTGGGGTCTCTAAAATCCACATATACTATTAATTATTAATTCTAATGCATTATGTTGGTAATGATGGTTGGTAGTATTGAAGTTGGATTGCATGGGTTGAACTTCGGGACGAAGTCCCGGGGGGTCTAGCTCATGACGGGGAAATGATTGGTTGCATGTAATTAACGGTGATTAGTAGGATCGACATTGTCGTATAATGGTCTATTGTTTGTAGTATCAATGATGTAAGCGCACATGACAATTGAATAAATAAGAAGTTCGATCTTGCAATCGAATCT